TTTTCATTCTTACAAACTGTGTTATGCGTTTTTACCTATGTGACCATCTGTCTCTTCTGGGAAAATTAGCCAAAATGTCTTGCTAGGTTAAAAAGCATATGTATTTTGGGGCGCCTGGGTGGCGCAGTCGGTTAAGCGTCCGACTTCAGCCAGGTCACGATCTCGCGGTCCGTGAGTTCGAGCCCCGCGTCAGGCTCTGGGCTGATGGCTCAGAGCCTGGAGCCTGTTTCCGATTCTGGGTCTCCCTCTCTCTCTGCCCCTCCCCCGTTCATGCTCTGTCTCTCTCTGTCCCCAAAATAAATAAACGTTGAAAAAAAAAATTAAAAAAAAAAAAAAGCATATGTATTTTGAGCTAAGACACTGCCAGTGGAATTCTTTTTAGGAGGGCATTAGAATGACATTTGAATGGAATCTTCTTAAACACATCTTGGAAGACTGTCCTTGTGTGGCAGGAAGACTCATGAGCCTTGAATTTGCCCTCCTGAATGCTGCAGTGAAGGCCAGTGAGGGTCTCCCTAGAAGTGGGCTGTGGGCTGCTCTCCTGTTAGGACAGCAGCCGGCTTTGGACCCTGCAAGTCTGGGACCTCAGCTGCCACCTTATGGGCCTCTTATCCTGCTCTAAACAGCTGATATCTTACGTCCTGTGTGTAGGGAGCTCCTCTCAGCCTGGCCTTGCTGGGTGCAAGCTGCACACCCCAGGGCTAAAGTTTAGGGTAGAGGCTGTGGTTTTTGCATGGGGACATGGTTCCTGCCGAAGCTTCCACAGAGGCCAGAGTACTGTTTGTCTGGAGGTGACCATCTCACTGTTTCTTTTCTGTCAGGGCAGAGTGGCTGGTCATATGATGAGTAACATGTTTATTTAAGCCAGTTCTCAAAGAGGACGAGGTCAGGGATTCCAGTTTGATGGGAAATAAGGCCAAGCATGGAGGCACAGCGTGGGGCTTTCTTTCAACATTGAAGCCCACAGTCCTGAGCCAAGTGATTGGTTGTGAGGCTGCCTGTGTTAGCAGGATTTCTCTTTGAAACAAATCTTTTTAAACAAAAAGCAGCATACTCCTCAGTTAACGTAACAGGGCTGTGTTTCTGTTTCCAGGGTGGGTTAGGGTTGTGTACCTTCACCTATTTTTAGAAGAAAGGGATTCGTCGGCCCTTTGGATGGCCTGCCTGGTAAGCCCCCCACCCTACAGCCTGCACCTCCTGCGAGTGCCTGACTGTTTAGAAGCTGCTCAGAGCTGGGCGATCAGGTACTTCCCGTGGCAGGTGGAGCCCTGGTGCCCACCTGACCACACAGGCCTGCAGACTGGTCATTCCTTCCTGGATTCTCTAAACCCCACCCCTTCCTCAAGCACTGTGGCAAGCAAATTGGATAACGTTCCTGCCATTTGAGTCTGGTGTCTCCTGGGGGCGTGTGGGGGTATGTAGCAGAGCCCCAGAGATGGGCCTGGCCCCGCAGGGCCGTGCAGATGGAGTTGGGTGATGGAGAGCCATGGGCAGGGTTAGCAGGGTCTCTGTGGGACCTGACGGAAGTGTCGCTACAGGGGTTGGTTCGTGGGAAACCTGCCGCGCTGCCTTCCCTGAAGCTGGCGGTAACTGCGCACTCCTGCGTGTCCTAGACCACATGCTCTGGGAGGCAGGGCCCCACCTGTTCATCTTTGGAAGCGTCTCCCACAGTCAGGACCCAGGTTCAGTCAGGACCTGGTTGTCTGGAGTGGATGCTACTGTTTTTTTCAACATTGCCAAAGGCAGGCAGAATGAGAAATGCCAGCCCCCTTTGGGGTTGAGTTTTCTGGCCCTTGTTGGGGATGGGCAGACACAGGTGTTAGCATGGGGATTTTAGAGGGATGATCTAGCTTCTAGTACCTTCTGAAAGTCAGGTCCTTGCCAGTCCCTTTTGACCCTATTGATGGTACCTGGGGAGGTCAGCCAGCCCTAACTTGGCACCATAAATTATGGAGCCCTCCCCTGGGGATTCACTCATAATGGCTACAGAATTAGCAGCTCTTTGCTAGTTTCCTCGTTCAGCTAAGACGATGTCTCAATAGGCCTCATCCCAGTTTGTGGTTGTGCTTCTGCTCCTCCATTTAGCACCCCGTTACTGAGCACCCACAGGTTGGACAGTCACAGGCTCACCTCACATATGGGCTCCTGCCCTCGAGGGACTGGGGAAGACAGTGACCACCCAGGTGAGTGTGCTGTGGGAGCCAGAACGGAAGGTCCCGGAGGTTTTTCATGAGGAGATGGCACCAGGCTAAGCACAATGGGCAGACTGAAAAGCGTACGTGAGTTCATGGATGGGAGAAGCAACAGGTTGTGGGGCTGAGTCTCGAAGCACCAGGCTGAAGTGAGCCTGGGAAGAGATGGTAAGAGAGGACCAGGGGGCCAGCGAGCACCAAGACGGTCTGTGATTGTTCCCTTGCCTGCCAACAGTGGGTGTGCACTAATGAGCTGGGACTAGAGTAGGAAGCCCCTGGCAGAGGACGCCGTCGGCTAAGAGACCCCACAGGACTGGCAGACAGGAGAAGACATGTAGGGAAAACGCCTAGAGTGATGTACAAGCTCTGTGACCAGTTGCACGTCTCAGATGACCTCAAGTTGAGATGGGTCTTAGCATGCGGCTGATTAAAACATCTTCTGTAGGTAAGGAGTAGTTGATAGGTATTAATCTTAAATTGTGCTCTCTTAAGCATCTTGCATTCGAACCATCTTTGCTGGAAAAGGGCACCAGGATCTGAACACATTGAAATTCTTCCTCTTAGCCACAGGCTAGCCCACTGAGTCTGCACCTAAGTTGTGGTCTTAGTGTAACAAAGCTGGGGGCACTATTTATGTTCCTATTGTTAGTCATGTTGAACCCATCGAATGTCATTCCATCTGGAGGAAAATCTTTTTAGGAAGGAGTGAAGTTACTTAAGAGAGCCTACAGTTACCTTCGACCCTGGAGGGCCCAAGAGGCAAGGACGCCCCTGGGACAGGCTCTACCCGCTCTGTGTAGCCGTGTCTGTTTAAAAGGTTTTCTTGTTCCAGAGGGCAGGTGTGGGAGGCCAGGAGCCGGTGGAAGTCCAGGTGGACTCTCAAAAGCCCACGCTCCAACTGAATCTGGCCTCAGCAGAATTCACAGGGAACAGAAGGGAGTCATCCCGCATGGGCAGCTGGACAGGAAAGGGGATGGTCTGTTTTAGAAAAATGGTTTCCAAAGCCCTGTGTGAAATTACTGTGGTGCCCTTCCATCCCAGGCCTTGGACTCACAGCTCTGGAGATGTTTGCCTATTCATTTGTTCCTTTTTTACTTTTCTTTCTCCATCACTTCCCAGACTTCCAGCACCGTTATGCCAGCCTCACCCCCTTCTCTGTGTCTGTGTGACTCCACTGGGTGGCCGTGCTGGAGAGAACACAGATGATTTACCTGCACTAGCTTGGAGTCCAGAGATACAAAAATTTCCACTGTGAACTTTTCTCTCCCAGAAGCGTAAGCAAGATTTGGATTTCCTCCTGCACAGTGGTCTGTCTTCCTGTTTTTGCCGGTATCTCTATTTTCCACCCTGTCCTGTGGGAAAATGATTCAGCACGGAGGCCACCGGCCACAGCACATCCCCTGGCACCCCAGGTCTTCTCCCGAGCCGTTGCATAGCAGCCAACACATGCAGACAGAACTGGGACGAGGCTGACAGCTGGACTGGGGAACGCAGGCAGGATGTGGCCCCTGGCCCGCCAGCCCCACCCCTGCCCACCACCAGGCTGGGAGACCGTGCAGGGGAGCGTCACTACAGTGTGTATTAACCACTGATAGTGGAAAAACCTCCGTAACATAAAACTTACCATTTTAACAATTTTAAGTGTACAGTTCGGTAGGGTCAGGTGCGTTCCCACTGGTGCACGGTCGCCAGCCGTCTCCTGAACTTACATCCTCCACATTGAAACTGTACCCATTAAACCTGACATGTTGGGTGAGTTCAGGTCAAGCTCCGGTCGATACTTTCCCAGAACATATCCATGTACATCTGATGTACGTCTGTCATCTTGTTAAAAATTTCAAATCAGAGGGTAAGGAATTATACTTTTTCCAAAAGCACATTGTCACTTGCTGATGGGAGTCACCACATCCCTGCAGAGAACCAGGCCTTCCCTGGGGGCTGCGTCTGTGGCCCAACCCTTCTCCCTCTGGCTGCTGGTGACCGCACCGGGACCCAGGGCTGGCAGGGACGGCCGTGCATGTTGTAAGTCTCAAGTTAAATTACCCCAGGAGGAAGCGCCTTCCAGACACTCTGGACATAGCAGGGCATGAGCCATGACTCAGAACAGTCTGTCACCCATCCCTGTCTTCCGCTTGCTGGGGACCCTCTGACCTGTGGGGAGTCCAGGTTGGGAAGTCATCCCGCGATGGCAGCCTCTGTGCTGCCTTTATGTGCTGGGACAGGAGACCGCTGATGGCCTGGGGCTTCTCTGTCAGTCCAGCAACAAAGAGCTGCAGATGTGCTTTCTCCTGGACATCTCTCATTCCATGTCCCAGACACTGGGGGGGGGGGGGGGGGTACATCGTGACAGCCCAGCTACACAGCTCCCTCCCTCCCTGTGGCTGATAAGCCTGGAGGCTCCACTGACAGACCTAAGAGCAGGAAGATGGTGAGGTTTGGAGTGGTGCCGCTGCTTTTCCAGACCCAAGTGCTGCTGCTCTAACCATCCTGCCTCCGCCCTGCCTTCCCCGGCATCACCAGACCGCCTGTGGCACCCCCTCCCTGGGTGTCTCTGGACTGTGTGCAGGGCCCCCAGGTGTCGCCGGGCCGCGTGCGGGGCCCCCTCCCCGGGTGTCGCTGGACCTCGTGCGGGGCCCCCGGGCGTCGCCAGACCGCAGGCGGGGCCGCCGGGTGTCGCCGGAACGCATGCAGGCCCCTGGGTGTTGCCAGACCGCGTGCGGCCCCCCCCCCCCCCCCCGCGTCGCTGGACCGCGTGCAGGGCCCCCAGCACAGCCTACCCTTCAGTGCATCCCAACAGCCGGCCCTCAGAGCAGTCTCCCCTCAGCCTTGGCCCGCCCTGGGCTGCAGTTGGGGTGGACATTTGGTTGAGGCCTCTCGGGGGGAGGGGGTTCCTGCCCATCCCCATGTGACTTCAGTGGAGAGGTCGGCCTCTGTGACCCCAAGAGAATAATTATCGATGCCGCTTATCTGCAGGAGCACGTGCCCTGCCACAGGACACTTTGTGTGTCGGTGTCTCCTGTAGAGTGCCCTCTCACCTTTGACCTGAGCACCACCCAGCGTTTTCCAGCTTCCCTCGGTGGTTGCACAGAGGTTCTTTGTGTGGTTAACACGGAGAATATAAAGCACACATTTTCGATGTTCAGGATCACCAGTGGGCGGAGTCAGAGGATTTGGGGTCTGGGAGACAGGTTGTCTGGGTGAAGAGGGGAACCCCCACGTGGGGGAAGTGTAACCTGGACTATGTCTCTAAGGAACGAGTCTTCGGGGCGCCGCCACCCCCCCCCCCGCCATTGCCCAGTGCGCAGGCACGAAGGGTAGCAAACGCTAACAGAGCCTCCTGCTCCGTCGGGATCACAGGAATTTGAGGTTGCTGTAACGCTAAGGGGTTGTGTAGTCCAGCCCCATGACCTACAGGTGAGGACACGGGCCCTGCACGTGGTGCTGCAGATCTAAGGGGCTGCCGATTCCACAGGAGGCGTTGCTGGGGTCCCTGCTGACTGCCAGGCGCCTCTGAAGTTAAATCTGCCCTAAACCCTCACTGCTTTTCAGTCTTCATGCCCGGTGCTGCAGACCCAGATAATGCTCCCGTGCCCCCCTGCTGCCAGGGTTGTTCTCCAGATGCTTTGCCTGGCCTGGCCAGTGACTGCTGAGCATTCCTAGGACGGGTGTGGGTGGGGCGGAGGGGGGTGACAGGCTGCACACATGGTGTGTGTTTCACAGGCGTTTCTGAGTCTGTGTTACAGACAGGCACTCGTGAGCCCTATTTTCTGCACGTGGGCAGTGATTTTCTTGTGTGGGCTGCAGGGGCCAGTGAGGGTCCAGGGGCTGTGCGGTCGTCACGGACGAATCAGGGCACCCTCGCCCACAGACCCCACAGCACCCTTCCCCCTGCCCACCACTCCCCCAGCCCATAATGTGGGGCTGGGCTGTCTCTTTCACAAAGGAGAACCTGAGCCCCACAGAGCTGCCAGGGTCCAACCTGTGCCTGGATCTGCCTGTCCAAAGCCTGTGCTCTTGTGTCTCCTCCCACGGCTGTAGTTGCGAAGAAAGCAAGCCCTGGGCACATGTACTGCCCGGCACATGGGTTAGAGTCTCCGTTTGCCTGAGGGGGAACGTCAGGAAATGGCCTAGGATGGCAAATTCCTTGGACGACAGCATCTGGAGGGTGAGCCAGCGTGCATTGTGGCTCTCTGTCTGCCCACCAGGCGTGACCCCAGCCAGGACTTTCCTGGCCCAGATGGTTGTTGCTGCACTGGGCAGCTTCTTAGAAATGCCAGGAAGATGACGCGTTCCAGGGGTTTCAAGACATATTAAGTGGACAACACAGAGTTCAAAACTGCGTGTGCTACATTGCCCTCCATAATGGAAGGCGACGGTAAGAATCTCTGTTCATATTTGCTTACATTTGCATAAATAGACTGCAGATAAATAAGCTAAATAAACTGCAAAAATCACAATGTTGGGTGGGGGTGGAGAGTGGCTCTGGGTTTGGGGGTTCTGTTTGGGTGATGAAATGTTCCGGAATCAGTAACATGGCTCTGTGAAGCACCAGAAACTTGATTTGCACACGTTCAGCAGTGAACCCTGGTAGATAAATCACATACCGTGTGATGTCTCGGTCCAGCTGCTTAAAACATCTTCCTGAAGCAGCACCGCGTTTGGCTCGGAGCCTCCATCCAGTTATTTGACACTAGCTGAATTCTTGGCGTTTCGCCCCTTCGCTCCAGAAGGAGATGGAGGGGGGAGGGGCTCCCGTGAACCCTCGTGGCCCCAGGAAGGACTGGGGGCAGGGGCTGCACCCTGAGCATGGTGAGGAGGCGCCTCGCGTGTGCTGCTACAGCTCTCGCTGGTGTCCGTGCGCAGGAGATGTTAGTGCAGGAGCAGAAGACGGCAGAAGTTGGCGGTCTCCTTGGTGGGCTCAGAGGAACAGAGCCGTTGGTCCAGTGGCCCTCCCCTTAGGACGGGCTGCTCCTGCGGGACTGGGCCTTGGTGGAGTCAGGAACGGCCTCTCTGGGGCTTCTGCCATCCCCTCGGAGAGGAAGGAGGGTGGTCGGTCGGTCCAGCGCGCCAGCCAGGCCTGGGCTGTTAACGCCGGCATGAGAACCACTGAAGGAGGTCCACTCTAAGTACAGGCTTTCCTGCCAGCGGTTATTTTCGGCTGCTTCGATTACAGTTGTCCTCTCCCGTAACTGCCATGATGTCCCATAAACACAGGCTGAAGCACAACGTGGCTGCAGGGCCAGGGCTGGGTGGGCAGACACGTGGATGGTCCCGCTCCTCCTGGAGGTGACAGCGACCCTGTGAGGCTTCAAGTAGAGACTCAGAGATTGAGCCAGTGAGTGGCAGCCATGGCCTCTGACTCGGTGGATGCTGTCACCGATGCACCCTCTGTGGGCACCTGAAACTGCTCTGTGAGCCGGGGACACGCAGCTGCAGCCGATCACCCAGCCCAGGCTCTCCGGGCCCCACCAGGCTCGACCGTAGGTTAGGCAAGCTGGCTTTCCCGAAATACCCAGTGTCCGTTGTGCCCTGGCAACTGCAGCGCAGAGCAACTGGCATGGATGCCGTCCTGCTTCTGAGACAGGCTCCCGAGAAGCTACGGGAAGTCAGTCGACGATTTTGTTGGGAATTGGGAGGGGTTCTCGTTTCTGCTTTCCCGTCTCCTTTCTCCTACGCCACAAACAAGGCTTCAGTGTCCGGTGTGGAAGACAGAGGGCGCTTCTCCTTGGGAAGGGGAGGGGAGGGGACAGGACCCGAGTCTCTTTGGCCAGCAGCAAGGTTGGGTGGGCCTGCTGAGGCGAGACCTGCTCCTGGTTGTTATTCACCACTGGGGATGCCAAGTGCAGACCGCGGGCCAGGACAGGCCAGTGTTCTTTGTCCCTGGTTGGAACGGAGGGTGCACAAACCATCGCTTCTGGGTCTCAGGAGGTGGCCCCAGAGGCCTGGGGGACACCAGCTCCATGTCCTGGTGCCCCCTCACTGTGCCGGTAATAGCTGGGCCCCTGGAGCCATGGGAGCACTCGTGCCCACTTCCCAGTGGTTCCTCAGTCCAGTTCGGGGACACAGGACGAAGCGGCGTCTGACTGCTTTACAGCAAAGACTTGGGAGGAGCAGGAACCCTCTAGAGTGCAAAGGGTTGACTGAGTCCACTTCTGGCTTGTGAAGTCTATTGTCTGAGATCAGCTCTGTGTTTCTGTTAGTCTCGCTCCCTTGGAAACACCCCTGTCCTCCACTTCCTGGGTTAGCCTTCGCCCTTCAAGGGGACCACAAGGAGAGTGAGCCCCAGCTTCTCAGCTCACCGGCCACGCCGCCCTGGGCAGTCCCCTTCATCTCTCTTGTAACCCAGCGTCCTTCCTGTCAGACTCAGAAATGTTCCTGGCATATCAGCTCCAGCTGCTGCCACCCTCCTTCCCCTTCCTGTGGCCCCTGGAGCAGGTGCGTGGAGCTGTGGGTGCAGGAGGTGGGGCACAGGTACCCCAGGACCTCCCTGAGAATGAGCTGCACCCCTCATCAAAGCTGGTCTTTGGGCCCCCCGTGTGCATGGTCCTCACACTGCCCATCACATGTGTTCTGTCTGCAGGACGACGTTCCTTCCACTCCGGAGCGAAACTTAAGAACCAGGCTTCACTGTTCTTAAGTTTCGCTCTGGAGTGGAAGGAACGTCGTCCTGCAGACAGAACGGTTCCATATTGAGCTCTCAGTGGGAGACACCTGCTGTGCAGAGCTGTGGGGACTGCCCTACGTCCATGGGGGATACCATGAGAACTCTTTTTTTATTATTATTTAAATTCAAGTTAGTTAACATACAGTGCAATATTGGTTTCAGGAGTAGAATTTAGTGATTAATCACTTGCATACAGCACCCAGTGCTCATCACAAGTACCCTCCTTAATACCCGTCCCCTATCTAGCCCATCCCCCACCCACCTCCCTCCATCAACCCTCAGTTTGTTCTCTGTCATTAGCAGTCTCTTGTAATTTGTTTCTCTCTCCTCTTGTTTCCTCCCTTCCCATATGTTCATCTCTTTTCTTTCTTAAATTCCACACATGAGTGAAATCATATGGTATTGGTCTTTCTCTGATTGACTTATTTCACATAGTATAATACACTCTAACTCCATCCATGCCATTGCAAATAGCAAGATTTCATTCTTTTTTATGGCTGAGTAGTATTCCAGTGCGTGTGTGTGTGTGTGTGTGTGTGTGTGTGTGTGTGTGTGTGTAAACACCACATCTTCATTATCCGTTCATCAGTCAATGGACATTTGGGCTCTCTCCGTAGTTTGGCTATTGTTGATAATGCTGCTATACACATTGGGGTGCATATATCCCTTTAAGTCTGTATTTTTGTATCCTTTGGGTAAATACCTATAGTGCAATTGCAGGATCATAGGGTAGTCCTATTTTTAGTTTCTTGAGGAACCTCCATGCTGTTCTCCAGAGGGGCTGCCCCAGTTTGCATTCCTACCAACAGTGAAGAAGTTTCCCCTTTCTCCTCATCCCCACCAACATCTGTTGTTCCTTGTGTTGTTCATTTTAGCCATTCTGACAGGTGTGAGGTGGTATCTCAATGTGGTTTTGATTTGTATTTCCCAGATGATGAGTGATGTTGAGCATCTTTTCATGTGCCTGTTAGCCATCTGGATGTCTTCTTTGGAAAAAAAGTCTATTTGTGTCTTCTGCCCATTTCTTAAATGGGTTACTTGCTTTTTGGGTGTTGGGTATAATAAGTTTTTATAGCTTTTGGATACTAACCCTTTGTCAGATATGTCATTTGCAAATATCTTCTCCCATTGCTAGGCTGCCTTTTAGTTGCGTTAATGTCTCCTTCATGGAGATAAAAGGCTCCTGTGCAGAAGTTTTTTATCTTGATGAGGTCCCAGTAGTTCATTTTTGTTTTGGTTTCTCCTGCCTCTGTCGATGTGTGTAGTAAGAAGTTGCTCAGGCTGAGGTCAAACAGGTTTTTGTCTGTGTTCTCCTCTAGGATTTTGATGGTTTCCTGTCCCACTTTTAAGACAAAATTCATCCATTTTGAATTTATTTTTGTGTATGGTGTAAGAAAGTGGTCCAGTGTCATTCTTCTGCACGTCACTGTCCGGTCTTCCCAACACCATTTATTGAAGAGACTTTTTTCCATTGAATATTCTTTCTTGCTTTGTCAAAAATTAGTTGACCATCCAGTTGTGGGTCCATTTCTGGGTTTTCTATTCTGTTCCATTGATCTATGTGTCTGTTTTTGTGCAGGTGCCATACTGTCTTGATGACTACAGCTTGTAATATAGCTTGAAATCCGGAATCATGATGCCTCCAGTGTTGTTTTTCTTTTGAAGATTGCTCTGGCTATTCAAGGTTTTTTGTGGTTCTATACAAAATGTAAGATTGTTCTAGCTCTGCAAAAAATGCTGGTGCTATTTTGATAGGGATTGCATTAAACGTGTGTATTGCTTTGGGTAGTATTGGATGTATAGAATTTATAGTATTGAAGTATAGAATGCTTTCCCATGTCTTTGTGTCTTCTTCAATTTCTTGTATAAGTGTTGTATAGTTTTCAGAGTATAGATCTTTTACCTCTTTAGTTAGGCTTATTTATTCCTAGGTATCTTACTGGTTTTGGTGCAACCGCAAATAGGATTGATTCCTTAATATCTTTTTCTGCTGCTTCGTTATTAGTGTATAGAAATGCAAGATTTTTGCAGGTTGATTGTATATCCTGCAACTTTGCTGAATTCATGTATTAGGTCTAGCAATTTTTTGGTGGTGTCTTTCAGGTTTTCTACATAGAGCATCATGTCACCTGCAAATGGTGAAAGATTGACTTCTTCCTAGCCAGTTTGGATGCCTTTTACTTCTTTTTGTTGTCTGATTGCTAAAGCTAAGCCTTCCAGTACTGTGTTAAATAGTAATGGTAAGAATGGACATCCTTGTCTTATTCCTGACCATAAGGGAAAGGCTCTTAGTTTTTCCCCATCGAGGATGATACTAGCTGTTGATCTTTCAGATATGACCTTTATGACGTTGAGGTATGTCCCATCTATCCCTGCTTTGTTGACGGTTTTTATCAAGAAAGGATGCTGTATTTTGCCAAATGCTTTTTCTGCATCTATTGACAGGATCAGATGGGTCTTATCCTTTCTTGTATTAAGGTGGTGTATCACATTGATTGATTTGTGAATAGTGAACCAGCCCTGCAGCCCAGGAATAAATCCCACTGAATCATGGAGAATTATTATTTTAATGTGCTCTTCAATTCGATTTGCTCCAATCTCGTTGAGAAATTTTGCGTCCACGTCCAGGGGTATTGGCCTATAGTTCTCCTTTTGAGTGGGGTATTTGTCTGGTTTTGGAATCACTTTAATGCTGGCCTCATAGAATGAGTTTGGAAGTTTTCCTTCCATTTCTTTTTTTGGGACAGTTGGAGAAGAATAGGTATTAACTCTTCTTTAAATGTTTGGTAGAATTCCCCTGGGAAGCCATCTGGCCCAGGACTCCCGTTTTTTGGGAGACTTTTGATAACTGATTCCATTTCTTTGCTGCTTACGGGCCTGTTCAAATTTTCTATTTCTTCCTGTTTCAATTCTGGTAGTTTATATGTTTCTAGGAATTTGTCCATTTCTTCCTGATTGCCAAATTTGTTGACACATAATTTTACATAGTATATTCTTGTAATTGTATTTCTGTGGTTATAATCTCTCTTCTTTCATTCATGATTTTATCTATTTGAGTCCTTTCTCTTTTCTTTTTGATAAGTCTGGCCAGGCGTTTATTAATTTTGTTAATTCTTTCAAAGAACCAGCTCGCAGTTTCATTGATCTGTTCTACTGGGTTTTGTTTGTTTGTGTGTTTTGTTTCTATATCATTTTTTTCTGCTCTAATCTTTATTATTTTCCTTCTTCTGCTGGCTTTAGGCATTATTTGCTGCTCCTTTTCTAGCTCCTTTAGGTTTAGAGCACAACTCCTAATTGGATTCCTGCTCAATTTCGTACGTTGGTTCTAAGACCAGAAAAGATGAGAAGACATTGACCATGAGGTAGATTTTAGGGACTGGGGGTCAAATGCTTGTTAGCGCTCAATTACAGATGAGACTGAGCAGCTACCTGGGGTTAGAGGGTGAGTGTGCATGAGTGTGTGTGTCCTACTATAACCCAGAGTCTTTGGTTATGTGCCTGGAGTGATTTTGCTTCGGGATGGCATGACGTTCAGGTAACTTTGGCTCCAAATTTAGGGAGATAGGAAAGACAAAGTTAATTTACTTTCATTAATGTTAGTTTTTAATCCCTTCTTCCTAATGTGTTAAAAGTCAAAACACCTTCTGAGGACATAATTGGCCATTCAAAATGGATTTGTAAGTAGATACCCAGTGGCTTAGGCACCTGTGTGCACCAGGGAATTCATTGCTCATACCAGCCAAATGAATCAGCACTCACTAGACTTTTACTAGTTGAGGTAAATTACTGGCAAATATCCAGGCTGCCCACCTAAAGTGTACAGGACCTTCCAGATCATCATAGACTACGATTTTCTTTTCTTTCATTTAAAAAAAATTTTTTTTCATGTTTGTTTATTTCTGAGAGAGAGAGAGAGAGCACGCGCAAGCAGGGGAGGAGCAGAGAGAGGAGGAGATACAGAATCTGAAGCAGGCTCCAGGCTCGGAGCTGTCAGCACAGAGCCTGACGTGGGGCTTGAACTCACGAACCGTGAGATCATGACCTGAGCCAAAGTCGGACGCTCAACCAACTGAGCCCCCCAGGGGCCCCTACGATTTTCTAATAGTACTCCAGAGAGAACAGTTTCCTTGAATCCAGAGCAGGACCTGGGAGGATAAGAGGGCCTGATGTAGATGCGTGCTCAGCCCTGTGTTGGATCCTGAGTGTCGGCAGGGCACTGGGAGGCACCGCATCCAAGCACAGATGATGAGGGGAAGCCCCAGGAAACAAGCCCAGACACCTGCTCCAGGTTTATCTCCGGGCTTGGCCTCTCTCGTCACCGTGCTGGAGATGGCTTGTCTGCTGAGGTCTTGGTTGTGCCTTTGCCAACTCAGAGGTCTGGACGGGGGTCTTCCCCACCCAGGGGAGCGAGGCCCCCTGTCCACAGGTCGCAGGGAGGGAGGGTCTCGTCAGCCGAGTGAGGAAGGCGCAGGCTCTCAGGGCTGCCCGAGGTGGTGGCCGTCACTAAAGTGGTGGCTTGAGGGTGAAGGAGGCGCTTTCCTCGTTCCAGACTGGTGTCATCTGTCACCGTGGCACCTGAATCTCTGCCTCCATCCTGCCTCTCAGTTGCTTATCTGGTAAAGGTGCCATTACAGCTAATGAAACAATGCCGGTGAAGTGCTGAGGCTCCTTGGTTCGTGTGAAGCATCACCGAAGCCACGCGAACACGGGCTTCGTTTCACCACTCTCCTCCCTTCCACGGACTGAAACCAACGGCAGATGTTTGTCACCACCCTGGGAATGCTGCTGCCTCTTCTGCAAAGCCCGAGGCTTCTCTGCTGTCGCCTCCGAGACCTTCCCAGAAGCTGGGATAGAACTGTCTGGAATGGCCAAAAGTTCCAAGTTTGGACAAAGTAGGAGGAAAAGAGCCTTCCGCACAGTGGATGGCCGCTGTGG